AGAGAGAGAGAGAGAGAGAGAGAGAGAGAGAGAGGTATTCCAGACATGAACATGGTAAAGGGAAATATAGGAATGTCTGAATACTGTTTTTTTCTATTGCTGTCCCACTCTCTCTCTCTCACTCTCTTTCTCTCTTTCTCTCTTTCTCTCTCTTTCTCTCTTTCTCTCTTTCTCTCTTTCTCTCTTCCTCTTTTATCCGCTTGAGGATGTGCGCTTATAGCCGTCACGCTTGTCGACCTATCATCTCTGGCAGTTTTCTCGACCTGTTTTTTTTTAAAAATATTTTGACTCTTTTTTTTTTTTTCTTTCGGTTTTGCTGTTTTTTTATCTGTTTTGCTCTCTCGCTGTTGAAGTGCGTTTCCACGATTCTGGCATTCTCTCTCTCTCTCTCTCTTTCTCTCTCTTTTGCTCTTTTGCTCTTTTGCTCTTGCGTATTTCCTTTCATTTTTCCGTCATTGCTTCCGTTATGTGTTTTTTCAAGATCGTACGTGTGGATATTACGCTTGTTAGTTTCTGGGGCCTGCATTCAGTTCATCTGGTCGATTCTCCTCTTGCAGCCAAGCTGCGTGATTGTGCCTCGCTCCACTGCTCAACATTCTACATGCATTTGGACGCCTTTCCGCACCAGTTGCATTCGGAGGGAGTCGAGCATTTTGAATCTTGTCTGGACTCTTGGACATGCATACGTAACACATAGACACGTGGCATTGTGGAGATGGATATGCGTCTACATTCGACGTATCCATCCCTGTTCACAGGCTGACGGAGGTCCAACGGTCCCTTCACAGATTGTGCATACGTGGATATAAACACGTGGGTATAGACACGTGGATATAGACACGTGAATATAGACTCGTGGAAATACAGACACTGGAATATGGACACGCGGATAAAGGTACGTGAATACAGGCACGTGAACGTAAACACGGGAATATAGACACGCGAATACACAAACGTCGTGGATATATGGACACGTGAATATAGACACGTGGATATGCACAAGTTGTGGATGTACACAAGTGGATATAGACACACGTTCTTATGCACAAGCTGTGGATATAGACACGTTAACATGCACAAGTTGTGGATATATACCCACGTAGGTATGCCTCTGTTTCTTGGGGTCCACATGAACGGTACAAAGACCTATCTCAAATGAACCTTATCACCATCCTCCATCACCTCCATCTCAACCATGGCCACCCTTACCACCATCGCTACCGTTACTACCATCAGCACGATGACCACCATCGCCACCATCGCCACCATCTCCACCATCTCCACCATCGCCACCATCGTCGTCGTCACAATCGCAGGCAGTGGAAGGGGGTAGGGTTGTTGAAAGTGGAAAGAGCATAGACGTGTGCGCGGAGAAGCCGAGAAGGAATGAGGAGAGAGGAAGAAGGAGAAAGGGAGGAGGACTGACAAGAGGGGATGAGATTAGGAGATCGGGGAAAAGATCGAGACAGGAGAGACCGAATAGTAAGGAAAAGGTTGGCGTCACTATTTTGTTTGTAGGACTGTATAAGGAAAGGTTAGCATGACTAATTTGTTTGTCGGACTATATCATAATCCGATAAGATAGTGATGCCAACCTTTTCCGTACTATTCGGTCTCTTCTGTCTCGCTCTTTTCCCCGATCTCCTAATCTCATCCACTCTTCTTGTCAGTCCTCCTCCCTCCCTCTGTCCTCTTTCCTCGCTCCTCGTTCCTGCTCGGCTTCTCTGCGCACCCCTCTCTCCTCTCTCCTCTTTTATCAACCCTATCCCTCTATGCTCCTATGCTCTTCTGTGCGCACCCCTCTATTATCCGTCCCTTTAATCGCTTGTCTATTGGGAATGCGAATGCGAATGCTCGCGCGCGCTACAAATAACGAGAGAGAGAGAGAGAGAGAGAGAGAGAGAGAGAGAGAGAGAGAGAGAGAGAGAGAGAGAGAGAGAGGTTGCTGTAGGTATTTGTGTGTACTTGTTAGGGAGGTGCGGGCTTATATTCTCGTTTTNTTGCTGTAGGTATTTGTGTGTACTTGTTAGGGAGGTGCGGGCTTATATTCTCGTTTTGAGAATAGGTCGCACTCCGGGCGCGCTGTTTTTTTTTCACTTGTTTTGTCGAGAAAAGATAATTGACGCCAGGATCTTGGGGAAGGCCAAGAACGGATCTTGGGAATGCCCCGTAGTGAACGGGGTTTGCGCGTGTGATAATCGTTTTCCAGGGCCCTGAGGGAAGAGGAATGGAACTTAGGGAATGGTGACGGAGGGGAAGAAGGGGGCGGGAAGAGGTGTATAAGGGGAGGGAAGGGTTGAAGTGGGGGAAGGGTGGAATGCGTGTAAGGGAAGAAAGGAACTGTGGAAGGGTGGAAGAGGGGGAGGGAAGGGTGGAAGGGTGGAAGAGTTTGTGAAGGGTGCGGAAAGAAGGCAGGGGGG